TTTTTATTATATATATATATATATATATATATATATATATATATATGATATACGAAAATTTTATAATATATAAAAATGTCAACATATTGTGTTTTACTATTATTTTTGTACCCAATTTTTTTGTAATTTAAAATTTTTTGTAATCTGAATTGTCGAAATTAATTCTTATGATATTAAAATTCAGGTTATTCGGAATTCGATTATTGTTAATTCAAATAATAGCATTTTTTTTTAATAATTGAATGATTCGATATCATATTATCTAGATATTTACAATTCTAACTCATATATTGTAAAATTAATAAAGAATTTATTTGATAATTTTGGAGCCTTTCTGAGTTTAATTTTAGCTAAAAATAAAATCGGGAATAAATAAATATAAGAAGCGTAAACACTTAATTAACGTGTGTATCGCGATTTGGTTTAATGAACCAAATAGTTAATCGTTGTTAAAATTGCGATCGCTTTAATCCAAGTTGTGTCGAACGAACATTTATATCTTATTTCGCCTTGTTTCTTAAAATATAAAACGATAAGTTAAACTCTCAGATAAATTAGAAAAATATACGATATCATTACTAAATGATAAAAAGAAAATAAGTAATAAAAGAGAGATACAGGGAAATGCGGAAAAATAACGAAAGAAAAATCAATGATCACGCGCGCGGATGGTATGTGACGCTTAAAAAATGTGCAACGTTAATTCGCGCACGTGGACACTTTTATCAAAAATAAATTTTTACTAAAACTCACCTCCGACAGATCGCTCCTGCCATAATTGTTAAACGAATCCATTTTTAAATCTGATACACTAGCACCTGAATTTTGTCATATAAATAATACCAGCGGGAACTATATCAGCGTCGCATCGAGCGCCGTTTCGCAGTACAAATGTTGGCGGGACGATAATCGCACGTACAAAAACCAGATGTGTTAAAAACATAAAGTGCGTTGCAATTCACGCGGAGTACATCGATGTTGCCCGGGATGAACACATCGCTCCGAGATGTTTAACTAAAAATACGAGACGTTATACGACTGCTATCGATATCGACGAACGACGATAGCAGCAACGGCGGCGGCGGCGGCGGCAGTGGTGACGGCGATGACGACGGCAACGACAACGATATCCCTCCACACACGTTTCTCTCGAACGACTGAGCACGAGGTCTTTACTCGGGGAATGACGAAGAAGACAAATACGAGACTGCAGTGGGACAACCGCGGTCGAGCAGGTTTCAACGGGGATTTCCCGCTCCGCAGCCGCGACCAATCACCACCGCTGTGCGTCGAGTCGCGATAACTGACGCAATAATTGCTTATACCTCATTGGCGTCGGTCTTTACAAAAAGTGGACGAGCCTTCACGCTAATTCGTCATCGGAATGATTTCGAATCATGTCTTCTTCAGGGACTTTTCAACAAACTGTATTAATTCTGTCCTTTTTTTTCCATATTTTCCGCCTTCATAGGAAACTTAAAAATTATTATTAATGATTCGTGATGTGATTGTAAACAAAAAATTACGTAAGATATCTAAGATCTCATTCGAGCAATACCATCTATTATCCTATTGTTTGAAAATTATTATAATTTTCTGTTTTACTTGAAAATAAAAAGAGTAGAAACAAAATAAAAGAAATGATTTCTTATACGTTTCAACATCAACGAGTGATTTTGAATGTATAATTCTTTTATAGTCTGGATGCTTAAAAGTTGATGAGACGTTTCCTAATCATGTTATGTTTAAATGTTATTTATATTTTTAATATTTTTTGTGATTTTATCCCGAGGTTTATAAAACATGAAAGATGCTAAAGATATATTCTATAATTAAATGTACATTAAATAATGATGTACATAAAATATTGATAAAAATGATAAATATGATAAAATGAATGTAATATAAAACATAAGTAAAATAATACTCTTTCGATATATTTTAATACATTATCGATGATCTTTCGATATATTTCGATATATTTCGATTTACTTAAACTCCTTCGGAATCGTTAAATTAGATTCTATTTGTAACTTTAATTTGAAATGAACAAAAAACAGAAAGAAAAACTATTAAGAAATATAATGCTAATGTTAAATAATGCTCTTTTTAACATCATGTTTTGCTTTTATGTATTTTTTTCTCAAAGAATAAACTAACTGATTTTTTTTTTATTTTTTTTAAAATTAATGCATTGTGAATTTGAAAGTTTGTTCGGTTTTAAAAAATTTTTGGTAAAAATTATAAGTTGTAAAAAAAGACTTTCTTTAGAACCATAATTAAAATTAAAAAAAAATTGAGAAAGAATTTATCTCGAAAAGAAATAATGAAAATGTATGTCATTTATACAAAAGGAATAAAAAATAAATTATTTAACTATAATAATCTTTCATAATTCTCTAAGTATTCAAATGTTGATTATAATCAAACTATATATTTTTTTCATACAAATTTTTTCAAGTAATAAAAATTCTTTGATTTATATAAAATCTGTTTATTAAATTAAATTATCAGCGAAATATATAATCTTCGTTTTTTACTAGAAATAAAATTTCAAATTCAAAATTCAATATTAAAGACTGTTTAAAATAAAATGTCTTACAAATTGCCAAATAAATTAAATTGTCTCGTATCGAAAATTAATTTCTTTAGATTACCCGGTGCTATTTAAATGTTGATCTTTAATATTTTTATTACATTGTGTCGCCCAGACACGTAATATAAATAAAATTTTAAATTCGAGATATTAAATTCTATTCCAAAACAAAACGTTCCATAAATCAACAATCAAGTTAAATACTTTCTTATCGGAAATTAATTCATTTTAAGATTATCGGTGTTATTTAAATGCTGAGCTTCAATATTTTCATCTTATCATACCGAGATGCGTAATACAAATACAAGCGCGATAATAATTTGCAATTTTAGAACAATGAATTTTTGTATATCTTGTAGTAGACGCCTATGCTTAAGTTTATTTATAGTACATACATGGTGATGCACATTGTGGATGTATGTACATGTCGGTATAGCTGCGATCTTCCTTGCGGTGTAGTATTGTTTCTTCATACCATTGATTTATGATTTTTACAAAGCAATGAGCGCTTCGTAATTCATAATTCGTAACATAACCACTTTTATAAAAATATATACGAATATAGAATACAATTGTAAGCGATAAACATTTTCACACTTGTTCTCCCTGCAAACCATTACAATATTGAATATATAATTGCGACACAAAATAATATCCAAAAAAATTTCTTGATATTATTAAATTTAATTTCTTGTATTTTTTTTATTACTATATTTTTTTATAAACTTTAATTAAATACAATTTCTTGTATTTTTGTTAACGTTCTTTGGACTTGTGATATCGTACGTACTCATGCCTCTGTAAATAAACGTCGAATCGGAATATCGGACGAGACTATGAACAAGGAAAACTTATTATTTTATTTAATCGAGATGATTATGTACGATAAATTGGAAATATCCAGCTTAGCTGAATAATCGATCGGTTCGAAGGAAAGACATTCACGAGAGAACACGTTGCTTACGTCTACGGATAATTATATCTGTAGTTAACACGAACCTAAGTAGATGTGGTAGTGGTCATGCGGACGTAAGCACTATGAATCATTTTGATGTATATTTCACAATCCGCCAGGGAAAAGGCTGTAGGCTCTATTTCTAAGAACGCGGACGTCTTTGCGGCGGGATGTTCCACTCATTATCGGCTCATTAAAGAATACGAGATTAAAGTTAAACAATGTAATACAAACGACTTAAATATAAAAGAAGCGTACTCAAGTATATTTCTGTCAACCTATTAAAAAAAACATATCAATGATATAAAAGAAATAATATGCCAGATATTCTGTTCTTTTTAACAAAAGATTTTTCATATCTACAAAATACTTCTTTACTTAACTATATTTTACAAAAATAATAATTAAAAGATAAGTAGAATGTGTAAAATCACGGAAAATAAATATAGTCACAAAGTGGAAATAATAATTAAAAGATAAGTAGAATGTGTAAAATCACGGAAAATAAATATAGTCACAAAGTATATTAACTTTTCGCTCTCTTACATCAAGATTAATTTCTTCATATATGAAATAATTTGAAACAAAGGATTAAATAAGAAATAATTATTTTTTAGCAACGAGCAAGCAAATTAGAAGCAAAATTTAATAAAAATTGAAAGCTCGATACTGGCATATTTGACATATTCGTTTCATGGATAATAAATCAATCATGCGATCGATAATGTAAATATATTAAAGTGATAAAGATAAATAAGAACTTAATAATATAAATTTTGAATCTTATAAATCTTATAAATCTTATAAATAAAGTATCAGTTAATATATATGTATTTATCCTTCAATTTGATTTCTTAAGGTTTACGAGGTATATCAATGTAATAATTAGAATAGGATCAAGTATTTTTAAAACAGAAAGAAATACATATATATACATAATGCGTCAAGAATCGTTTTTATCAAGTAATTGTATAAATTTAACATAACAGAATTTATGCATTATTTATTCGTCATCATTTACGTATTATGCTACAATCGTCATCATCATCTCTTTCCTTTTTTTCTTTTCTTATAACTGTCAAGATTCAAGACTAGGAGCCAATGTCGATATAAACAAATAATACAAAAAAGATGGCAAAAAAGATGAAAATTTATATAGCTCGTTTTTATCATATGTGTCGATGCGATTCTTATCAACAGGACAACATACAACGGTTTTTTTCAGGAAAAGGAACTGACGTGAGACATAATCATAAAGGAAACGGTGGTATTATATCATTCTATTGTTTTGCGTACAGTATTATACTATACATAATGCAAGGTTAAATTTGATTTTTTATAAATGGTTATATATTATATATAATGTAATCTGTACAAAATGTAACAAATAGATATTTTTGTTGAGTCGTATTTAAAAAAAGCAAAAAAAAAACGGTTAATCTTTCATATGTTATAAATACGAAAATATGAATTATTTATATGAATTATTTTATGAGAGAAGATATATTCTGTTAAGATATATTCAATTTACCTATTTTTTATTTTCGTCAGAAGCTAATTGCGATGCCAGATTTGCAAATTTTGCCATATAATCCACACTGTTTTCTCCCATAAGACATTGCATATGAGATACAACCTGAAATTTTATTAATAGGCTATAATAAGGACTTTAATGTAAGATAAAATAATATTTAATACAATTTTATATATTTATATTTACATCAGAAGAAGGACGAGTATCTTCCATAATCTGTTCACCCGCTTGACTTCTTTGCGAAACTTTCATAGGTGATTCAAGCTGTCCTAAGAAACTACTTAATGAAAAATCCGCAACCTATAATTCAATTGTTTTATTAACGTTAAATTTTTTCATAAAAAATATCGTGATATAGATCGCATTGTAATTATTATATATTAATCATTAATTACCTCACTATTTAACCACTGATGCTCGCCTTCCTTAAGAATTTGAGTAGCACTAGTAATAATTGAATTGGAATTCTTTGCGTCCCCGCTTGTCTCCAGAGCATCCAAAAAGATTTTTTCCTGAGTCTCGTTTGCATTTATTGCTGTTTTATCAGTTTGCATTTGACATACGGAAGATCCATTTGCATCAGTTGTTAAATTTTCTGATGGCATATTTGGCGCAGACACAATAGGCAATACTCTTTGTACAACAAGACTTTTCTGTCTCACTGTTCTACCTCGTTTACAAAAACGTGTTTTAAATTTCTGTAATATATTTGTATAAATATTAATCTGATAATAATTGCTGATATGTTGTTAACAGCTTAGATATGTTGTTAACATATTATAAACAGCTTGCTTATTGGGAATCGTAAAAACAAATTTTTATCGTAACATTTTTCCAAAAATATTTTATTGAAAATAATTGTATTTTTATATATTAAATAATAATAGTACTTACGTCAAGTTGCGTCTTAAATGCATCAGCTGTACCAATCTTGTGATATGTTTGCGGAATAAGAGGTCTTCTAAACGTAGATTCTTTAATAGATGGAACTCGGGATGAAATTACTGTTTCGTTGCTTCCCGATGTGTTGTCATATACCTAAACAGAGTGATATTTCATAACAGAAAAAAATGGATTAATTTTGGAAAACAATTGGAGCCTCTGTCATTGAGCAAGATATTTTTTATTTCTTACTTTATTTGTACCGTAATTATGTTTTGCCAGTGACAATAATTTTTGTAAAACCAAACATAAATTATTATCACGCATAATATTTGGTGACGCTGAGTCAGTTGTATATTGCTCATTGGGTAGCAAATCCCACCAATATTCGAGTATAATCTTCGATTCACGACCAAACTGTTAAATTTAGAAAATTAATAAATACTTTTGATAACGAGATGTAAATGCACAAACAAATTATGATTTTGTTTGGCAAGATTAAATATAATATGCTTTATCTTAGGTGATATAATGATCTTGAACATCAAAAGCATCAAGAGTTCATCATTTTGTTTGATAAAACAAAAATCATTTTGAAGATAATAGCATTTTGAAACTGATTTAACAAACTTTTATTGCTTCTTCGAGTTATCACAGATTTTGTAAAAGAAAAATATTTCTGTAAGATTTCTTTGAGCTAACAAATAAAATCTCATTCTTTTAATTGAAGGACAGTTTTTTGATTTAAAGATATCTTACAGACCTGGAAAACTTCTAAAAAAGTTAGCTTTAAAAAGTTCTTTGAAAATATTCAATAAAATATAGAGATTGCTATTTAAAAAATTCAAATATTTCTCTCAAAAATATTTAGTTTCCGAAATAATCTATTATCACTATATCAATCAAAACAAGATCCAAAATAAGACAAAAGTAAGTACATAAGTAATATGTAATATTGATATATGCACCATTAAAAAGAGATCGCCCACAGTAATTGTATTCGCTTCTTCAACATTCCAACCTTTTCGAATTCTTTCAATAGTTTCTCTACCAGGAAATCTGTCAGGTTCTGAATGATGTTCAGATGATGATTTTTCTGTATTATTTATAATCGCTGGTTTCTCAGATATATTACTTCCGGTTTCTAAAAGATCTACGTCGCTACTAATATCTGGCAGTGTACAATTTTCATCGGTACGATTTGAGACCTTTTTATCCAATTTATATCGTTTAATGCCTTTTTTTCCTACTCCTTTTAAACATTGCATAGAGCCCAACAAATCTTCCTTTGAGCTTTTCAGACCAAGACGCTTTTCGTATGAATTGAAACTGACACTATTGCTAGTGAGATATTCTCCAAGATTAACCATTGGTAGAGCAATTTTACATCCTTCTGATGGAGCAACTCGCAATAAACAAGTATCTTTTATATCATTAGTAACGAGATTTTCTACAGTGGAACACTATATAAATAATATTTAAGGATTACTATTTATAAATATATTAACACAAATTTCTGTGTATATAATTGAAAATCTATACATTAAGTAATACTACATAAAAAAGAGTCAGAAATTAATATTGCAATTAAATATAAGGATACTGTGGTATATTTTGCAAGTCGCCATCGCTGTTGCAAAAATATTAATAAACTTGAGAGACGTCTCTGTATGGGAAGAAGCGTCCGAACTCTTGGATTCATGGATGCTGCTTGTACTTGCCACCAAGCTATATTGTTACGTGGTCGCAGTTCTATTGTTATTCTAGATGGTAATTTAATCTCCTCTTGCCAATCTGAAAATCATGTACTCTATAGTTTGACATTAATTATTAACACAAAGAATTTAATATATTTGCAAATAATAAATCTATATGTACAGATGTATATTATAAATTTGTATGGAATCATCTTAGTTCATAAGGATATCATGAAAATAGAAACGTATGAATTTGATCTCAATTTTGCTAATATAATACCTAAACTATTAGTTGTTTATATATATATATATATATATATATATATTACTTTTTAAATATACTAAACATACTAAAAATATACTAAAAATATTTTAAATATACTAAAAATTTCAGATACCTTCTAATTGATTTAACTTTCTAAGCGCTCTACATATTGGTGTTTTAATTCTCATAGTTTTTCCTCTAAGTCTGACTTGTGTAGATCCCCAATATACTAATTCATTCAATCTTAAATGAACCTTTTCATGAATACGAGGTAATTTTCTTCTGAGTTCACCATAATTTATTAGTCCATATAATTCCTGGGATGTTTTCTTAACATCTATAAACACATTATATTATTTGTAAAATTAGAATATATTGATATTATATAAACACTTATATATAATATTTGTGAATATAAATTTAACAACCTTCAGAAAATTTAAGATGTTTTGATATTTTTAGCCATGTTCTATAATAAAAATGTCGAATTTGCTCCTTATTTTTTATCATGGCATCTGAAAGACCACGCTTCTTGCCTTGATTTAAAAAGTAACTTTGCAGTGCATCAAAATCTTTACCATATTCATTGAGTGCTTTAAAAACGTATTTTTATCTTCCATAGACCATAATTCACAAGAACGTTTAAGAGATTTTACTTTAACTTCTGTTGTTTCTTCATCTTTTGCATCTATGTTTATACAGAAGTTTCATTAAGTTTAATATTATATATTAATAATATTGTATAAATATTTATATCAACACACCCTTTTTTTCGATATTGTTAAGTTCATTGTCAATTTTGAACCTTTTAGTACCTCGAACAACACGAACTTGTGTATTTTTATTATCTATTAAAGATCTGGTTTCGGAATCTGTTTGGTTTACTTGAGAACATACAGGAGTGATATTACTAGATTCAATATCTTCACATTTTGCAGAATCTTCCATCATGCAAAACGTTAGTTACAATTTTTTTACAAGATATAACTGTCGTTAATATAAAAATCGACCCTACACATTGAATAATTAATTGAATAATTAATTGCGACAAATGGCATTATAAAAAATATAGTAAAAAAAAATACAAATAAAATCTTTTATAATAATCACTTTATACTGCTAATGTTCAATTTAAATTAAGGTTACTCTTTATAGATTTCAATAATTCATTTTAATACCAAATTCCAGGGTAGATTTTTTCTTCTTTAACTTCTTTTGTCTTGGATACTTAATCTTTACATTATATCATTCTTTTTTTTTAACATTGACAATTAAAGCACTGTGAATTAACCTCTTTTCGCATTTTGTATTGTCAATTATAAGATTTTTTTAGATTTGTTCCTCACTGTATTTAATATACATTTTCTTTTTGTAGAAAGAGGGAGCATATGTGAATTAAAATCTTCTCTTTACATACAAAAGATGAAGAGAAGCTCTTCCACAACCACAAATCATGTTAACAGGTGTCAAGAGATGGGGGACATGGAGACTCCAAACTGACATATAGTGAATTAAATCTGTAAAAGTTTGTCCCCTGATCGGTAGATGGCGCTAAATATTGGCTAAATATCACGAATATATAAAAGTCGCAAATGATACTGCGATATCTCTTGTCTCTTGTTGGGTGGCCTACAGAAGGGGAAAGGTCAATATTTGCTTCAGTAACAGTATATATCTTGTTGCAAAATTGCTTGCCGAAGATAATTTAATATACGATAATACGATTATATCTAACTGTTTCAAGACTTTTATATTATTTGCTCAAGTAAAATAAAATTTTTTTACGTTGATCTTTATAATTATTAGCTTGTAAAAGAATTACGTGTATAATTATAATTTCAATAAGACAATTTCTGTTAAATCAGTTAACCAAATTAAGCTAAATTATAAAGTTAAAATCTGCCCGCAAACTCGTCGTGATAAACAACATCGTCACTATCGCATACATGCGTCTGAAATGTACAAACAATGTCGTGTCACATTCGATAACAGTTTGATTGAGTAGATTTCACTTCTCTAATTGTTTTGAAAAAAACAGTCGCAAGAGCGTCACAATAATATCTTCTCGCTTGAATATTAACTACTTCAAATACATCGCATCTCTACGTATTTCTATGTATGTATGATTGTATTTTTATAACGTGATTATTAGAATATTTCTGAAAATTCTAATAAAAACAAAATAACTTTTAAAGTAAAGATTACGTTTAAATATTTAAAAATTATATTTTATTTTACATTTTAACGTCGGATTTAGCAGTCACGATGTACAAATTGCTAGATACATCGCATCTCGAAAATAATTATTTTCAAATAATGGTTTTATATATATATTAATTGCTATTTATTTAAAAAATAAATTAATATCGGGTAAGTCTCGATGAGAACCTTAAGCAAATTATAATCAAGAGAAAGTTTTTTTTAATTAAGTTAAGTTAACTATGTATAGTATATAGTATATAGTACGATATAAAATAGTTTGTTAATTCTATTAATTCAGTCACATTAAAAGTTGCTTGAACAAAAAAGTAAGTTATAAGTTACATTAAAATTAAATTAAATTCTATTAAAAGTTAATTTAGAAAAATATTATTTATATTTTAAATTATAAAATGTGCAAATTTTCAAAATTATATTACTTCAAACAAAAAAAAACAAATATCAGATAAAACAAAGAATTTTTTTAAGATTGAAAAAATGTTAAAGAGTTGAAGTTAATGTGTTTTAAAAAGTAATTAAGTGAAACTAAAAGTTAATGCGTTAAAATTAACTTAAGTTAAAAGTTATTAATTCTTTAACTTTAGTACTTAACTTGTAATTTATTAACTAGTTATTACCCAATCTTGATAATACACAAGAGAGAGTTCTATATATAGACTATATACTTGACGAGTCGGAAATAATTCTTAACTTTCTCGGCTCAACTCATTTGATCCACATGGCAGTTTCATAAAACTCTGAAAAAAAGAAAAAGCTTTTATTCGCTGTAAAATTAATGGAAATTATTTTTAATTCATATTAAATTAATAGAAATTATTTTTATTAAAATCATCTTTATTTGTCGAAGCTGTATAAATTATTACAAGAGCTCGTATTTTCCATTTTAATTTTCATTTTATTTTATCGTAACTCGTAATGTGTAAATATTTGACAGATATCAAAATTGACGATATCAAAATATCGTCCATTTTCAAGTCCATTGTCTAATACGGGGCTACCATATCATCCATCCATGTGAATGGCGCTCGCAGGATTTCTAAAAGATGAGCCCTACTACTCGCGGAGCGGAACGGTACACGAGACGAGCATGAACGCCCCTCCTTCCCCCCCCTCGAGATCCCCTTTTCGCTGAGAAAGAACACGGCGGCCTATGGACGCTTCTCGCTTCGCCGGCGGGAAAGGTGGCGAGAGCGCGAAAAAAGGATCCATCCGACAGACAGACGGCAGTCGTCCGTCCGATCGGCGGTTAATGTACGAAGTACGCGCCGCGACGTGACGAGACGGAACGCGAAGCGGAGCGACGTGACCGCGGTCGATAGGACGCGTATCGGAGCGGGCTGGATTACACGGTCGCGCATGTTCCGTAGGTAGAGGAACCCGTTCTTTCATTTCGGTGGATCCCGCTCGGAGCCCACGGGAGCACACGGAATCGCGGCGACCGTGGTGCACGACGAAAATGGCCGCCTGACGACGGTGTCGAGGGGCCGAGGATCGTGTCGTACGCGCATCGATCGCGTGCGATCGACCTCGGAGGACGCGTTTCAAGTGCCGCGTCCTTGGGGGAGAGTGTTCCCCGAGTGTTCGCGTGTGGACGCTGAGAGGACATGTGCGAGCGTACGGCCAAGATTGACCCTACCGTGTTATGGAAATGAACACACAGGTTGCCTCCCCGTGGATGCCAAGTTCGTGGAACTCGCGCCGTTCCTATGGGTCTCGGAGCGTTAAAGCCGGAAGGAAAGCATGCCCTTCGACGTTCCTTGTTTACATACCTGTTCTTCGAGATATAGAAGGTAACAAGAACTTTGTGAAGTCAATATATATCCCCGGAGTAAGAAAAATGCTTTGCATGTTGTGTGTTTTCGTGCCATCCTTTATGCGCGTCGTTTTGCAAAGAAGTTTTTAACTTAACAATCCTACTCGGCGATAATTCTGCACTGTCACTCTTGTTCCCTATGACTTATCGGAATTGAGATTTATATCCAGAGATTTGATGACAAATCAGTAAAAATTTTAATTCAAAGCTGTTCGCTTGTAAGTTTCATCAAGAACAGTTGAGAACTTACATTCTCATATTCTGTCTGGTTGTACAAAGTTCCACTCGTTTTAGGAAGTGGAAGATGTTTTAACGCGCTGACGGACGTAACGGAGAATCCTTGGCCCCGGAGGTCCGTTACCTCCGCGAAGGAGGTAAGAGAGCGAAGTGGGTAGAAGAAGCGCTACGATCCTGTTGACTTCCATGATTTTACCTGGCGCAATTATGAAAGAATACGGTCAATATCCGACATATCCGTGTGCAATCCGAGTGCGAGCGAAGACTGAAGAGGAATCATCAAGTTTATCACTGCCCGCTTAAATTGCCAACGTAAACGTCTGCGATATACCGAATATACAACAGAATATCTCGAATTAATGCGAAGCAAGGGAATTCGGTTTCACGGGAAGGAATTTCGTGCGAGGCGACTTTACGATTGTGAATCGCACGCTTGAAAGGATTCTAACCCTGGAGTGAAATTCCGCGAAGTTGAAACGTTCAGTGTGAAACGAGGAAGTCGGCTTGCGCCGAAGAAACTCCGTGTGTTCGAAGGAGGCGACAGAAAAGGAAAATATCGAGGTTGGCAGGAATTGAAGAGGAACGGTGCGCGAGAAATCTCGATAATATCGATATATATATATATATATATATATATACATGTATATATGCGAACAATGAGCATCGCCGATTTCCTTAGAATACGTACAAAGCTGAATTGATTGAGAAAGTAGAAAGTAGAAGCTCGATTTTTTAAAAATTTTTGTCAAAAAGTCCACATGGGAATAACGAGAATACTCAATGAGAATACTCAACATGTACTTTAATTATTTAAGCACTTAAATAAAAAAAAAAAATAGAGAAATAATCGAAGTGCAATAAAATTTTCACAAATTTTCACAAAAATATGGGAAAACGTGTTCTCGCGTAGCGAGTCAGCTGACAAGAGATTGGAGGCAGTTAGAGGCCAGGCGTCAATCGGGGAGAATCGATCGACAACAGTGGGATCGTCCGGATGGGAGTATCGCCGCTGAGTGTCGCATTTCCCTGAAGCCGCACCTTCTGCTAGATGGAACGCAGGACCGATAGATATGGCGCCAGAGAGATGCGCCATTCGCGAAGTGAGGATTTGCTGGGCGCTATTTCTAGATCCCCTAGTCCGTGCGTCGATCTACCGACCACGGCGTCCGAAGACGATCTGATTGCAGCCAGTGCCCTCCGAGACTCGGGCATCTACGACGAGGCTGTCGGGAGCGCAGGGCCGTCGCGGCGCATTCTCTCGTCATCGTCTAGAACGGTGGGAGTCCCCGTCGATCCGGAAGACTCCATTCGCGACATCGTCACCGAGAACGACCTATACAGGTCAGTGCAAAATAAGTTAAGGGGAAACGCATTCGAAAATGCTAAAAAAGTAAACTTTTAACTTTTTAAATATAATATTTCCTGCACATTTTAAGTTATAGAATAATTTTTTGGATAAATGTTAAAGAACAAACGTTAAACATATAATTTCTTGGTGTTTTAAAATTTAAAAAGGAATGAAAAATTTTTTAATTATGGAACTTCGTTATTAAATTCTATTATTTACGTTCTCAATACAAGAGTTTTCATTTTATATAAAAATGACAAATATATTAAAACTGCATATTTTATGAAATTTTATATTTTATTAAAATTTTGTTTCACGTTCTTAATTTATTTTTTCATAGTAGGTCACTTTCTTGTTACATGATTTCTCTCTTTCGTTTGCACACACACACACACACACACACACACACACACACACGCGCGCGCGCGCGCGCGCGCGCGCGCGCGTATGACAAGAAGTAATTGAAATCTTTATAAAGATCAATAAAAATACAATAAATTTTAAATGAATAATTGTGAATAAAATCTTATTGCTATTAATTTATCATTGCTATTTAATATAAAAATAATAAAGCAAGACATTACAATTGCATATTTATATTTTATTTGCAAATATGACACACAATATGAGATCATTGATTATTATCATTCCTTATGATAAATCTTGTCGCTTAATTATCAAAACCTAAAAAATTAATAAACATATATGTATAAGTGTGTTTATCTCTAGTACTTTTTTGCTTTCAAAGCTACTTTTGTAAAGTTAAATGGAATACTATGATACTACACCGATTATTCACAATATTCAATAACGAAAACGAGAATGGCCTTGGTGTCGCAAGGAAATCATTACGAATTACTCACCTCGTAATAAAGAAACGGAAACAAGCATCGTTTCTTTTCTAAACGATCTCGGGAGTGGCTTCCGGGAATCGCGATTACTTAATGATAATATAAATATTATTTTGATTGATCCTTATAAATATTATTTTGATTCTTATTATTTTATAATTCGAAATCATAACGAGAATATCGACAATACATATGTATGTTTTAAAATTATCATTATGTGCTTCTAATAATAAATCCGCTCAATTTAAAGTTGATTTTCATTAATATATTTATAAATATAAAAAAATTATCAATACTTCAGAATAAAAAAATTAACTCCAAATTGATCAAAGAATCTGTTGTGTATCTAAAGGTCATCTGGTGGATTTAAAGTGCTATAAGATATATCTTATTTCTCATATATTATTTTTTTAACAAATTCTTTAATTAATATGAAATCAACTTTTTTAGAAAAAATATTTATTATGACCTTTTATATTCAATATTTTATATTTTTTTTAATTAAATGAAAATTTTTTAAATTAAATGAACTAATTTGTCATTAAAAATGTTATAAAAACGAAACGTTTTATGCATAGATATTTTGTAGAATATTATTCTCTATGAGAATTGGTCGCCTTTATAAAAATTTTGAGAAAATAAGTAAAATTCTTATTTGCTCCTTGAAGACTTTTAAAGCTTTCAATGGATTTTAGAAAGAATTCTGTCGATTAAAATAGTTAGAACACTATATAAAGATACGGATAACTAATCTCACAATTAATTTGTTTTATTTTTAACTTTAATTCTATGATTGTTAAGAATCGATAGAATTTTGCGGCGGGATTATCAGATCTGTCAATACTGGATTTCAAAAAAAATAATTTATCTCTATGAACTTAGAAACTTTTGAAAACATAATCTTTAAAGCATTAGAACTTCTTCTAGAATTTAATTTTCTTCAAGTTCTGCTCCCGCAGAATTTGATTATTCTTATAACAAACATAGTGTTAAAATTAAAAACGAAAAAATTATGATTCTTTGAAGTTGCTCTCTTTCTTTCGTATTTCTATATGGTATTTAATCATTTTAACCAACGAAATTTTTTTAAGATTGCTTGAGAATTCTAGGATTTTTCGTGAGACAATACTGCTTTTTACAATTATAATTCTGCTTTTTTTTTGTAATTTTAAAACAAGAGCTAACTTTACATAGATAAATTATTGATATGGGAATTCTCATGATATTTCATATCGAATAGATAAAAAGAACTAATACTGATAAATGAAAATATTCTGTTAAATGTAGTTATCTTTAATAACGTGATATCAATCATTTGCTATATCGATTAATTACTTTCACATCCTGTTAATTCCTTATTAATATCTTTGTCCACGTATCGTATACGTAACGCACAACTTCATGATTTTGCGTAATTACTAGGAAGTTTATTAATTACCAGCATTGTTCAGAGAGAATTATCTTCATTGAGGATGTTTTGCGAAGAAAATTTCTAATTTAATCTCGACTATTAATCTCCTATATCTCCTATTCGTATATTTCTATAGCTTCTATTCATAAAAAATAGTAGTTTGCCATTAGGCAATATCAGTTCTGAAAGTCTAGTAAAATTAATTTCTCATCTTGAAATTCTTAAATAATAGACAAATCTTGTTTTCTCAAATTGTACAATACGTTACGGAGTAACAGTGAAACTTATTGTTAGTCATTTTTTCCTACATTTTAAATATTTTATTAAACATTTCTTGTGCAAAGCTTTTTACTTTTTAATTATCCACTCTTGCATATTTTTGATAAAATCGACATTTAATGACAAAAGAACGAAATTTGAACTCTGTTTACTTATTTTTCTTCATTATTACAATGGTAAATTTTTTATCCTTCCAATCTTATACAAAAACGAAGGTCTGTGCAAAAATTCAGTTTACTTATATCTTTTCCAAGGTTTCAGTCTACTGTGACTAAGCTCTTAGACTATGCCAAATTAATTCATTGTTCATCGTTTATACTTATATTTCATCCGATTCGATTGCAATATGAAATTCGCATAATCTTGAAATTCATTTCTTTTTATCTTATCCTTTTTGCACAGATAATATAAGTAGTTGTTAACAAAATGAATCGAATATTTTTCTGACAGCTCTGGGATTTTTGGCGAGAGTTCGAACATGTCGTTTTCCCCACACGTCTCGAAAGAAAAACACGCCTGGAACATAATAGCCTCCGATTATGTCATCGACTATCGATTGCGCCGCAGCCTTGACGCGAGCTTCGTATTTCCGAGAGTGACTTTCGCACTTGGCGACTTTGTCATGACTTCGAAATGAATGTCGCGGGCCCAGCCAGTCTGGATCCCATTCGCTCGTCGGCTGCCGGAAGACAAGCGTTGCGCGCCAACTCTTGGCTCACGCCGGCCACGAATCAGTCCGGATCGGTCCGAATGACGCGGCCGGCCGTGTAAAAGCGAAAGTTCCCGGGGACCAGCGTCTGCGAGCGAGTGTGCGAGCGAGTGTGGTGTGCGAGCGAGCGAGAAGCGGAGAGGAAGCCTCTCGACACAACAACGCCGGTGAAATCGATTTCGAGCGCGAGATCCACGCGTACGCGAAATCCGAAGGCCTGGGGCCTGGAGGGGGAGGGGGGGGGGCCCTAAGTGGGACCAAAGCGCGTGCGAGCGCGCGCGAGCACATCCGGTACCATTTCTCCCGTTGTGATAATATAGTTGGGAACACGAATCGTGGATGGCCAACGTTGCGATGCGCGGCGATGATATGTACGACGAGAGACGCGTATCCGCGTACGTTTCTTACGATCCGATAGGAAGTCCAATGGATCCTTTTCTAAATTTCTTTTATCTTATTTACATATGCCACTTTGCTAAATCTATTGTTTCATCCGCAGATACGTCCTGTTCAAGCGGCACTACGACAAGTATGTGGATCTCGCAGAAAAATACAAGGAGGCGAAGAGCGTCGCTTACTATTTGGAGGAGCGCTATCACGAGATCAAGGTATGTCAAGGAAACTCTTTTGCTTTACAAATCTTATTATATGATCCAATTTAGGATCCGATATATATGATTTTAATTTGATCACACAATGTGAAATTTTCTTTCTCGTAATCCAATTTACTGTATGTAAATACGAAGAGAATCTGACTTTTTCTAATTTTTCGAATTTCTCATTAGTTACCAATTGCATTATAGTAGATGCGCTCACTCCTTCGTCCTATTGTTGTATGTATTTTATAACATACAACAAAGGAAAATTGTGAACCCGGGTACCGGGCTTTCCCACGTTAAATCGCGATAGCTCGACTATTGTTGGAATGGCATGATACATCTATTCTCACGGTACATTTTGTTACTATTGTTGAAATCATTTGATTTGATCTCGCAATTTTTTTGCGTATTCTTTTGTCGTCTTTACAAAAACTATTTTAACTACTAATTTCACATGCATTGTCGAGTACTTCCACTTCGTTTTATTCTTCCTTTGTAATTCAATTACACAATGACATTAGTTTCTTCATGCTTTAGGATTCTGCGCATTATTTTATAATAGATAACGAAAGTTGCGCGTTGTATCTTGTTGTTTCTCCACGATGAAAAGTAATAACCGTTGCAATAATACGGCATCTCATTTATTATTGCGAAATAATTAATTCAGAAATTAGAAATCTTTTCAATTTTCCGCCAAGTTTCTTTCACTTAACTTCTTCATTTCTAATTACCGGAATTTCGTTACGGGGAGGAACGTTAGTGAAATTCTACCATTAATTAATGCCATGCACGAGGGAGACATTCTCGATTAATTTGTTGGGACCCTTTTAAAATAGAGCACTCTACGAAATATCTCAGGTTACTCAAGTCCCTTGTTCAATTTCTTGATAGAAATAACGACAACGAGGCAGCGAATTAGAAGCCATGTTTTCCATCTGCTCGTTCGTGAAAGAAAACGTGAAACAATATAAAATTCCCAATGAAGCCAAACAAGAGCCTCGACTCGTTTTTTGTTCCTTCAACTAATCTAACGCGGAAGACAAATCGCATCCTATATAAATCACGAATGTGATTTGTGTCGCGATGATAATCATCGAGATGCGACCAGATGTTTTTCCACGATCTCTCAGCGCATGATGATGTTATCTCGCCGACTGATTATGAGCCAATTTGACGTAGCGAAATCGAGTCTCTTTTTTTCGAGGCGTTTCCCGCAAATTATTTCGTGAAACAGGAAGGACATCCGAAAGAATTTTATCAGAAAAGAATCAATTGATAAAAAAAAAGATTTATTTTTTCAAAACAAATTTTGTTTAATAGGTCTATCTTACTTTCTTGTTTTTATGTTTAAATTATTACTTCTGGTACACGTGAAACATTTCTAATTGATCTCAAGATTGCCGAGAACGATAAACTTGGAAAAAGTGTAAGTTTTAATGAAGAATTTTTTTCTTAACGAGATCGATCACGTAAATAACTTCGTAAACCCTTTCGCTGTGTCTGATCGCAACGATCATGAAGACCATCTTTCGCCAACAGGATCATTCTTGACATACCACTCGTGAAATTACTGAGCAAAACATGTTCTCAGATCTCACTCAACGCAAAACCCTTTGGTCTTTAGGAACATTCTCCCGAAATTCTCTGTTTATATATATCTGTCGCTATTTTATACCCAAGGACACGCAATAAAATATCTTATGGCGACTAGAAAGATTTTTTAGGAAGACAAGATATTTTCAATCATCAGTCTCTAGAGAACATGAAAATTTGCATTTTTGTTTCTTTTTTTCTGGACATAGTTTTCTTCTTCATTTTATGGCTCGATGATTTTTAACTTGTCAGTTTCTTTTATCGAATCGTAATCTCTCTTAATTTTTTCCAAGATTTAGCTTTTACATTATTTATATATTATATTTCATCTATTTTAAATATGATAATGCAGAATAATTCAGAATTTTTTAATTCTTAATAATCAAGATTTTATATGACTTAATTTGATTTAAAAGAAAACAATTTCTACTTTTGTTTATTTTTACATTTTTTTCCAGTATTTTAATCACAACAATGAAATTATTTTATTTTTATATTAACTTATTTTTATAATATTTTTATTTCATTCGATTGATGCATGAATATGAATATGGATAATTATCGTGCTTTAAATCATCAGAACATGAGTAACATTCCAAGGTGTTTGTAACCATAACCGGAAAAAAATACATAGCAGGATGTGCTATTCTTGTTATTCTAGTTTTCTTAGCTGTCTTCGGGTTCATTATCCGTTTTATTATATATCTAGCTTACCAGTCATTTGAATTTTTCATACCTAAGCTAGAATAATATTTGATGTATATTCTAGAACACGGATGTATCTTCTTTGTGTTCTGATTTTTTATAAAGATTTGTCTCAATTTCGTTAATTTATGCGATATCTCTTAATAGATTTATTTATCCACATATGCACAGTAATTTATTTTATTATTTTATTATTTTATTATTTTAGATTGCAATATTTTCTTATTGCTATCATTTGCAATTTAAGATGTTATTAATTATGTACTTAGGAGAATAATAATGGATTTAAAATATAGTTCAAACCAGTTTGAACATATAACGAAACTGTTCAATAATATTTAAATATTTTGAATATATTTTTAACAATCTCGAATATTTTTGTTTTATATTCTGTTATTTCATACGTAATAATAAAAACAATTAATATAATATTTACATAAATAATAAAAACAATTGTATAATATGTTTAATCTAAAAGAAAGATCAAAAATAACAGTTAAGTTATTTTTTATTCTATCATTTCTACCGTGTCTTTTGACTCGGTTTCCGCTTCATCTTCTCTTACGGGATTCTCTTTGGGTTTAGTCGGATTCCCCACTTCATCTCCCACAGATAAGATTTTCACATGGGATCGAACGAGGTGTGACTCGAGAAAAGGATTGCGGTTTAATACCGCCAGCGTCGATGTCGATGTTTCACATTTCTGTGCGGTATCCTGTTTTTAATGTTGCACACCTCATTCATTTAATTGCACGAAAGTTTGTACAATTAAGGTAATTACAAGTTGTGGCGAACAGTACATGCAGATCGCTCTTTTTGATTCTTATATATGTTATTACCAAAATTGGTTGGCATTCAGTCACAGTTATAAGTTAAATAATAAAGTTAAAAAGTTAATAACTTTTAATCTAACCTAATTAATTTAAAATAAATTAATTTTCGTTACTTTTTAAAATACACTAGCTCTTCAACATTTTTCCAAATTAAAATTTTTTTGTTTATTTTACAATTGTTTTATTATTTAAAGTAATCTAATTTTTAAAAACTAGAAATTTGGTCTAATATAAATAATATATTTCTTAAGATTAAATTAATTTAATTTTAATATAACTCTTAATTAATTGCTACTTTCTTAGTCGTGCAAAACTTTTAACGTAATTTGATTAAAATTTTATAGATCATTAATTTAACTTAATTGAAAGAATAAACTATAACTTACGCAATCCTAATAATTACTGAGTGCTTTTTTTATTATCATCATTTGTCTTTTATTTCCTTTAACGTTTAGGTGTTTCATATCGATAATTAAATTAGAAGTAGGAAAGTTCATACTTTGCAGACAATTATTATATAAATTATTAATAATTATTATATAATTATTTTCCATTTTGCTATAATCGGTCCGTGAATTTCCTTCGGCATTTCCGACTTGCCATTTTCCCGTTCTTCGTCGTAAGAAAGTTTACTGGAGAAGAACCTGGCATTCTCGGTGCGTCTTTGCTGGCGTTCATCAACCTCTCCAGCCTTGCTTTACCTACCTAGTTGACCTACAATGTGGCTGACTGGCCACCGCTAGACAGAACTAAAAGCGGCAGAAGGGAAATGTTGAGCGTGCGTCATCGGTCGGTGTCATGCAATCGTGCGAAGTCGAGTTTAGACGCGGGTCACCGATGATTGTCAGCGCACATCGATACCGATTATGCGAAATCACTGAATAAAATTGTTGGCAGCGGTTCTAAAACGGCGTTTCTAACGGAAATTCCAGAACAAATTCTCACAGAAATTTTCACGAAAATTGCCTAACGGATCTAAAATTTCATCAAAATAATATCATTGACATAGACTTTTATAAACATTTTATTTATCCATATATTTAACGAAATATATTCTTTCTTAGGATGATTATGAAAATATCTTTGTTCTTCGCAAACGTTGAATTAAAATTTTCCTTCATCCTGCTCTTGATATGACAAATCGACGAAATAATTTCACGATTCTTATTACAATATTAGAATATCAGATTTAAATGGAATGAGAATAATAGTATTTTCGACTGCAGCGAATTTGAATCAGTCTAAGATTCATCAAATATATAACTTGCGAATTTTCATAAAGAAAATCCAATGTCTTCTTAAAGTGATTAAATCAGATTAATATCTAAATATTGAGCAGGTTTCCTTTATGATTAGAAGATATTGAGAAGCACACGTAATAGAATAAATTTATTTCAAAGTTGTATTTAAAAATTTTTTTAATTTTATCTTGAATATTTTTAATAAAAGTACTTGAAAAATCCGAAAATTTTTAGAAAATGTTTCACAATATTTGAATGGAATAATCACCCTGATTGAAAAATTACAAGTATCAGGATCTTATTTTAAAATATTTTCAAGACATTAGCACTTTAATGAGGTTATTCTAAAATTTTTATCCTTCTGACCTAAAAAATTATGAAACTTTTTTTAAAGGCCGAACGAGATAGATTGGAGGATGCTCGAAGGAATCTGGAGAGACGATTGGAAGGTTGCGAGTCGGAACTTCGTGGCAAAGAGGATGAGCTCTTCTTGCAACTGGAAAGAAGTTTGCGGCTGGAAGAAGAGATCGAACGAGCTAAGGCCGAGAGAATCAGTTACATGGAGGCGCAAGATCGATTGGAACAACAACGGGAATCTGCTTTTCGTCGTTTACGGATGCAACTCGAGCAGAACGAAATTACAAGGCGGGATCTCGAGAGAGCGCGGCAAGATGTCATCCGGCAGGCCACTATTATTCGTATTGAAAGAGACACTTTAGAAAGAGAGGTGAGCATTTATTCGTTACATCAAACTGTATACCTTGCATGATTTTCCCTCAGAAGGATTTTATTTCTTTTATATTTACGCTTTTATTTATAAATTGTTTGTTTTTTATATGCTTATCTATTTTTTGATGTGATGTAGACTGATCATCTATTAGCCTACTTTCAATTGTTTCTTTCAGAATGAAATGTTGCGGCAGAGATTGAGAGTAGAACGAGACGAATTAGGAGCCGAGCGACGTCGCCGAGAGGAAGGTGTTGCGGCATTAACGAGAGAGACTATCGCATTGAAACACGCAACACGTCATTTGAGCGCCGCGACGTTTCATGCAACGTCCTGTCGGAATCGTCGTCGATGCTCCATCTGCATATACGCTAGACGTACTTTTGCCAATATCGATAATTATCGTGACAAGTGGGTAACTTTAAAAGATTCATTAGAGAAAGTAAAATTTGTAGTATACTCCAAAAACTATATCACATCGAATGTATTTTGAACTTTGCTCCTTGCAGTGGGAATCTCTTGCAGTGCCTTCAAACACCCTTACAAGATCTTCGTAATTGGTTACGACCTAATGTGATGTCGTCGGCCTGCTCATCTCGAATTCCGCAAATCGAGTCGCCTAATCGTGAAATTTCTTACATCGACGACTCTAGTGTCGATAGTAGCAGCAACGGTAGCACTAACAGCCGCAGCTGCAGTAGCAGTACTAGCAGTAGCAACAGCGCTTACGACGACGATGCATATCCGAGCACTCCCATAGCCGAACCTTCTCTTTCTTCGGCCACTTCTAGTGTCCCACATACCGCAAGAGCCTTTTCCTCGGATTCAGGGTTTGTTTAACCGGAAAAAGATGTTATAATAGTAACTATGTTAATGTTTGCCCATACTTATTTTCTTCATTATAATTGTTTATTCAGGTTTTCCTCAGAGATAGGGGATCGCAGATCGCGATGTTATGATAACGTTGGCAGCAGCACCAGCAGTAGCAGCGGCAAGAGCAGAAATGTCAGCGAATCGTTAGATAGCAACGAAGTTGATGATCAGAATGCAAGTGGAAGGGACGGACTTACCCGTTCGAGATGGACTTCTTCCTTTCGCAGATTACTCGGACGAAAATCGAAGAGTAAGCTCGATCGTTCCTCAGGAACTGGCAAGACTGATGAACCGCGATGAACTATTTGTATCAAAACAAAGATTCGACACAAATATATTATCCCGTCCTCTTCCCTCTTCCAAAATAATCCTGTGGATAAATCCAATTCTTAATCGAAATGAAGCATGTTTTTCATGTGAAACGTTTCTTCATGCTTTTTAGAAAAAGATTTCTTGAAAGAAATCTTTCTTGAAGATATTGAAACTGCCGAGATTTGCATACTAATTTTTTGGGGAGGATAGCGTACTAGAGGATTTATATATCAATTCAGGGATCTTGGGATTCCTGAGAAACTAAACTATAAATATATAATGTATGTTTTGAAGCTTCTTATCTTCAGAGATATAATCGTGACTTTATTTTTTTCAAGATTTATTATAAATTATATTAAAGATGATTCAAGAAACAATAGATATCTTTTAAAATATTAGAAATAATATATAACTTCTAAGTCCCTATCCACAATGGAAGAAATATTAGGAATAAGAATAAATATTAAATTTTAGAAATAAAAATTCGAAATAAAAATCAAATGTAACACATAATGAATGCAAGTAGGTATGGCCATATTTTATACTTACTTGGATCCATTATGCGTTGTGCTTAATCTTTATTCTGAATTTTCATTTTCAAAATTTAATATTTATTTCTGTTTCTAATATTTTTTTCATTGTGTATAGGATCTAAAACTTTTTATTTTCTCCTTCTTTGTATAATGTCGCACACAGGAATTTTTAATAAGAATTGTATCTTATCCTCCAGAATCCAGAAATCCTAAGCGTAGATTTTAAGATCTTTTATCTAATGTAGGAATTGAATTTTTAGCAAATTAAAGAGAAATACGAATATACATTAAATTATTAGAAATAATCGCAATCGATCGAATTTGTAAGTATTTATTAGAAAAATGCATAGATGAATTTTAAAGACTTTGAATTTTAAAACGTAAAGATTTTGAGATTTAAAATATAATTTAAAAGAAGAAATTCGAATCGAACTATAATTATAGTGCGTTATTGTTTGCATTCCGAATATTTCTTACGTTGTTATATTTCATTGTTATCACGGCGATTGTTAATGTATTTGCCAAAGAATACAGTAACTTATAAATGCAAAAGTCATCAATTAATCGCCATTGAATTAGAGTTTTAAATTTACGACAATTTTTTGTCGTTTGTCAATATTATATCGTTTGCGAGAAAAGAGCCAGCCCTTTAAATATGTCTCTTAAATATGGTGGAAATGGATGGACCAAATGCTGACATGTCACAATTCTGTTAGGATGTTGTAAAATGTAGGAAATTCCAATATGAATATTATACAAATAAAAATATGTATACGATGAAAGATGTCTTTTAATATGTCTGTTAAATATTATTTTCAAATTTTTTAATTCTATCAAGAAAAATCGAAAAATTTTAAGAGCATCATTATTAAACCATAAGTTTCATAAGTTAATAATTATAAAATTAACAAGATTAATATTAAACATAAGACATTGATTAAATGATTATTATTGATTTAAAACAATATAATTGAAGATAAAATTAATTAAAACATTTATAATGCAATGTATTATATAAATACAATAATTAAAATTGCTCATATCTAAAAAATTATTTTTCAATAATAATTATACGCAAAGTTAATAAATAATATCAAATTGTATATGTCAAATTTAATAAAAACATTCTTATTAATTATTTAATTTCTTAAAGAAATAAAAAATTATTTGAACTATGAATCCAAAATAATAATAAATTTTTTAAACATAACTTCTTGAAATACTTATAAAATTCTAAATTCAATATTTAATGAGTACAAATACATTATATTCTCGATTAAAAATTAAAAATTTGCTTTTCCGTGAATATTGGTGCGATTGTAATTTTCTGTGAACAGTACAAAAATAGCACATTTTTATTTTATCGTTATCATGTATTATTGGTTATTATCTGTTGTGTGGAATATTAAATCAATTTTTAATTTAAAAAGATCTAGATTATTTTATTTTTGATAAAAGATAATACCTTGCCATAAATACATATCTTAATCATAATTGTGTAATCTATCTGAAAATGTAAAACTCTTAAGATACTTACTCATCGCTCAGTTTGTTTGCAAAGCAGTTACGATATGATATCACATTTTCAGAAACCATGAGAAATCTATGAGATAAATGACTTCTGTGAAACTTTAACTTGTTTATTGATTGATTTTTTAGCAATTTCAAGTATTATATACTTTTCCAAGCATGCTATCTTATTAATAAAAATAGAAATATTAATTTTTTATTTGATGTAACTTGTGAAAAGAAAAAAATTAAATTAAAGACGAACTAAAAGCAGAAAATGTTTATAGAACTAGAAATGTTTTTCGTAAACGTCTACATATTGAATTAATGTCTAAAATTAAATTAATTTAAATTTGATCGAAATGACCTTGATATTTAAATAAAGTTGCAATTTAAATGGAAATTATGTTATATTTTATATTCTTTTTGATCGTTACATAACTCTTGCAGCAATATTTTCATATGACGCATGAAACTTCTTTTCCTTTTTTTCCTTTTAATAACAAGAATTTTTCTACTACGTAAAATATATGTGAATTATGACATGTGTGTAAAGCGGGAGAAGGAGGAAACGCCCATGTATAAATTTGTACATAAATTTATACATAAATATATAAGTATCGACTTTTTATTCGAAATCAAAATGAAGATTAAAGTTTACGTTGTCTCGATCGTTTCTTCAATTATTTCCAGTATATCATCACTTTCGATCACACACAAGCACAAATTCATAATACGCTTGTTTGTTCCCCCACTCATGTGAATTTTGCCGTTGAATATAAGGAACCAGTACATAGAAGCGCAGCGCAGAGACCACATGTACTTCATTCGCGCTGATAATTCCGGTAGTCGATATTAGTGCCGTGTCGCGAGCGTTCAGCGTTCTCCAACGTGCATTCTTGCACGTGCAACAGGTACGCCTACCTATTAATAGATCGGAGCCAAAGAGAATAATACGAGTTCGCAAACGACCAAATAATTATTCGCACGCACAGTCTTTGGTGCTTGCAACTTGTGGACGAAGAAATAGTTCGCGTTTGAAAAGAAAAATGTGTCAAAATTTTCAAGTGTTAAAGAGAAGGACGTTACGAAAGAACGTCTGTTTTCACCACGCTCTGATAATGCTAGTTAAATTTACAATTTACATAACACTTTTAGTGCGCCTGTATAAACATATAACACGTTACATGTCGAGTTAGCTCTCCCCACGTAGTGTTTGCATCATTTCTAAAATTTTCTAAAATTTTCCGTTTACGTTTGATATTTTCGCTTAGATATAATATTTTTATAAAATATATTATTAATTATTAATATTAATTAATATTAATTATTAATATTAATTAATATCAATTATTAATATTTATAATTAATTATTCTATATGTTTAATGTCAAAAAATGATCCGTCACATTATCTACATTAGTGCATATAGCATAGTGACTTGTCTCGCGATATCACGCATTCTCACGTTTAAACTCGATTTTTTTATATGTTCTCATCATATGTAATTGTAACGAGCATCATTGGATTCCTCGTGTCAAAAACTTATTTTCCCCGTGCACAGCAAAAATAAGCTTTTTCACTTTAACACTCTTCCTTAATGAAATATAAAATGCTAGCAAAAATATAGCAAAACTTGTTAATAAAATATGATGATGGGTTGATAGAAAATCAGCTAGCTTGGAAATATTTGCTATATGTATAGCTTAATGTAGATTAAGAAATAGAATCTATAAAACAGAAATAGAACAGAATCTATCTACTCAACGATCTTTGCTGTCAGAACTTGTCAAGTTCTGTGCCAACGCAACACGATTTTAATATATTTTAATATAACATAATTGAATTTATAAAAATATTTTGAGCTAATTTGCTGCTAATCAGACATATTTTGTATATGTAGATGTATTAACATTATTAATATACATATTTTTAATTAACATTTTCATAAAAATAATTAATAATGTAGAGAAAGAGAGAGATAGAGAAAGAGAATGATGATATAATTCAACTTATACGTTTCGTACATATCTAATATCGTACATATCACTTATTCAACTGCAATAAATACTCGATCAAGAAAAACTTGTGACCTCGAAAAAAAAGATCAAATCAAAGTAATATCGAGTTATCCTCAATTTACATCACGTATTGCTCGCTTTTGAGAAACGAGATGCGAGACTTTCCTTATCGGTTATCTCTGTTGAAACGTGGCCACTAATTTATCGGAGGTGACGTGACGCTTATATTATTCATCTGGTGATACCGAACAGATCGATTATTATTTAAAGGACACGTTTTGTTTCGTCCAGGAATCATTTTGTAGGGCAAATTTTAGGTGACAATAAAAATAAGAAAATGTACAGAATGCTAAGCAATTTTTTACTCTTTAAAATCATTAGTTAATTTTTTATGGGTATATATTTCTCATTTTTAAATTGATGAAAAATTAAAAACAATTGATAAGAAACTAGCTCTTTCTTTAAATAAATTTCAAAAATTATTACATTAAAAATTTTAATTTTTTTTAAATTGAAAAATAAAATCAAAATGATATGACATTGAAGTTGATGATTCATGATTCATGACTCATATATATAACATATATAACAGATTTATAAACTTGTTTTTCCTAGCTAAACTTCTTATTATTTATTCATCTTTCCTCTTTTTTTTCCCACGTTAAAAGAAAAAGAAAAGAAAAGATAAAACGGTATCTATTTGAAAAAAGAAACAGAAAAGATAAACAATGTAAGAAATTTAATTAAAAAGAACAGATCTTACATGCACATGATATTTGATATGTAGATTATCAAGATTCTGCGAAATGTTCTGATAAAGAAAATTTAGCACAGGCTGATTATTATGAAATTTAACACAGTTAAATTATAAAAAATTTCTGAGAAAATTAGAATGGTAAAGCAAATATTTCACCGGCATCAATCAATACATTTTCCATTTGTTCATTTATTTCAAGAAGCAAAAAATTAAAAGTTTTAAATCAAAAAAAAAAGATTATGAAGATGATAATCAGTTATCGAGAAATATTATATTGTATATTCTGCGAATAATGATAAGGTTTTTTTGTCTCCTTCTCTTATCTGGATAATATAATTTCACAAATTACATAAAATAAGACTCTCTCTCTCTCT